CGACACACACACCGGGATCTCGACACACACATACCGGGATCTCGACACACACACACCGGGATCTCGACACACACATACCGGGATCTCGACACACACCAGGATCTCGACACACACACACCAGGATCTCGACACACACACACCGGGATCTCGACACACACATACCGGGATCTCGACACACACCAGGATCTCGACACACACATACCGGGATCTCGACACACACCAGGATCTCGACACACACACCGGGATCTCGACACACACATACCGGGATCTCGACACACACATACCGGGATCTCGACACACACATACCGGGATCTCGACACACACACACCGGGATCTCGACACACACACACCGGGATCTCGACACACACCAGGATCTCGACACACACATACCGGGATCTCGACACACACATACCGGGATCTCGACACACACATACCGGGATCTCGACACACACATACCGGGATCTCGACACACACACCGGGATCTCGACACACACATACCGGGATCTCGACACACACATACCGGGATCTCGACACACACATACCGGGATCTCGACACACACACCGGGATCTCGACACACACATACCGGGATCTCGACACACACACACCGGGATCTCGACACACACACACCGGGATCTCGACACACACACACCGGGATCTCGACACACACATACCGGGATCTCGACACACACATACTGGGATCTCGACACACACACCGGGATCTCGACACACACATACCGGGATCTCGACACACACACACCGGGATCTCGACACACACATACCAGGATCTCGACACACACACACCGGGATCTCGACACACACCGGGATCTCGACACACACATACCGGGATCTCGACACACACCAGGATCTCGACACACACCAGGATCTCGACACACACACACCGGGATCTCGACACACACCAGGATCTCGACACACACATACCGGGATCTCGACACACACCAGGATCTCGACACACACACACCGGGATCTCGACACACACATACCGGGATCTCGACACACACATACCGGGATCTCGACACACACACCGGGATCTCGACACACACATACCGGGATCTCGACACACACACACCGGGATCTCGACACACACACACACACCAGGATCTCGACACACACACACCGGGATCTCGACACACACACACCGGGATCTCGACACACACACACCGGGATCTCGACACACACACACCGGGATCTCGACACACACACACCGGGATCTCGACACACACACACACACCGGGATCTCGACACACACACACACCGGGATCTCGACACACTCACACCGGGATCTCGACACACTCACACCGGGATCTCGACACACACACACCGGGATCTCGACACACACATACCGGGATCTCGACACACACACACCGGGATCTCGACACACACACACCGGGATCTCGACACACACACACCGGGATCTCGACACACACACACACACCGGGATCTCGACACACACACACACACCGGGATCTCGACACACACACACACCGGGATCAGAGAGGGAACGCTGTGAAACACACGGCTCGAAGACAGGACTGGGATCCCAGAACTTCAGGACCCGGAGGCGGACTCTTCCCATCACTGCACGGACTTTTGTTTGCTTTAACAGATCAGATTTATTTGACGTCTTTAAATGGTTGGTTAACCCGAAAAACAAAATGTTGTTCATTTACTCGCCCTCATGGATTTATCAGCCATAACATGAAAATAATAACTTATCAATATCAGCATTCGCCAGAATAATAAAAATATGGGTGAACCCCTAATGAAAGTAAATGATGACGGATGCTGTTGAGCTAGAAATAAAAGACAAATAAATAATCACCATAAAATATCTTCTGACGTTGTGTGATAGCTTTGTGTGAGGAACAAAACAATATTTAAGATCGATATTCATCAGCTTTGATGTCGATGACTCCAAACGCAATTGTTTGTTTCATATCTAATGAGCAACCGTGCGAAGTATGAATATGAATAATAATTGATAATAATGACACGTGAACTGCAGAAAAATGACACGCTTTTGAGAGTCTCCTCACATAATGCCATTCAATGACTTCAGTGGAAATAAATCATTAATATTTCTTGCATTATTAGAATATAGAGCCATATAGTCATATGGACGACGTTAACACTATTATTCATATTTTTGAGGTCAGTCAGTAAGAATTGATGTGTTGTAATAATGTTTTGCAAAAAAAAGTCACCAAGGCATGTAAAATCCAATGTAAAATAGCTCATTTGAAAGTAAATGTTAATCTCGGGCTTAAACTGCATCATTTATACACACTATGTTGATATGTTGACAGTGCAAGTTGCAAAACCCCTTGATTTATGTCGTTTGACAGTGTCCATTAATCACGCCACTATCTCCTATTGCATCCAAACCACAAATCCCACAGTCTGAACGTCCTCGTAATGATGTGCAGTATAGCGATACGGGATCCTCACACAGCTTTACGCTCGTCCGGATGGGACCGGGAAACTGAGAGTGTTGTGGTCTACGGGGAAGCCGGTTTGTGGACTTCAGATCGCTGAACTCAGGAACCCGAGGAGCCTCTGAACACACACACACCGCTTCAGTATACAGACGACACATGGGTTTGCATGAAAACAACACTTCCCATTTTATCATAACAGAGTCAGTGGTGCGATGGTGTAGAGAACAGCGATCACATAAGAGCCGTGCGCTCACACTGGTACCAATTTGAGATGAAATATTCAGCTAAAAGAAGATGCAAATGTGCCGTTATGAACGGTGAACGCTTCCATGTTCCGCTCCTGGAGACGAGACTGCTATTAAACCCATAACCCAAGTCCATTACTTACTGAAGACTCTATTACTTCAACTTCAAGTTCAACATAAAAAGCTCTAGATGTGTTTTTATTGATTTCCCAGAGTCAACAACACTTTTAAAAGCCCCCACCGCTGCCCTTACGAAATAATAATCGTAATAATCGTCCTAAATGTAAAAGAATAGCAGTTCACACCACCACAACAACCACCGTCAGAGAAATTATATTGTTGGAATAAACAACTGTTCCATCTTACGAATGATAAAAACATCGACAGCCAATCAGAATCCTGCTTTAGAGAGCTCCAGCGTTTAAAGTGGCAGACGTCAAAACTGTTATAGTGTGAACGGGCCTTAATAACCGCCACGCTTTTTGCCTTTTTTTAAGTGAGGAACAAGTAGATTTTTGCAACAACATTATGCAACAAATGCTGATTATGCTGATTACATTACAGTATATGCTCGAGCTTACAGTAACACACTAATATTATTTAATCTGTAAATATT